ACTATACCTTCATTCATTCACTCAGTAAATCATCTGGAGTGACTACCACGTTTCCTGTCCTGTGTTAGGGGCTATGGGACACAGGTTTTGTTCTCCAGGTGCTTCCAATCAAGGAGCACAAAATTATCATCACTGGTGGCTCAGATGGTAAAGAATCTGCCTGCAATGTGGGAGACCAGGTTTGATCCTTGGGTCAGGAAGATTCCTTGGAAAAGGGAATAGCAACCCACTCCAGTATTCTTGCCTGGAGAATCCCATGGACAGTGGAGCCTGGTGGGCTACAGTCCATGAGGTTGCAAAGAGTTGGACACAACTGAGCAACTAAGCCGCAGCACTATAGTATTTATCATTAACAATTTGTTTGGTTTATGATTTTTATTTTTTTGCACTGGGTCTTTGTTGCTGCTTGCGGGCTTTCTCTAGTTGTGGCGAGCAGGGGCTATTCTTCATTACAGTGTGCAAGACTGTCTGTGACCTACGGGAGACAGGATTCTCACTGCAGTGGCTTCTCCTATTACAGAGCCCAGGCTCTCGGCACACGGGCTTCAGTAGGTGCAGCACTTGGGCTCAGTAGTTGCAAGCGTGCAGCTCTGAGGCATGCAGCCTTCAGTAGTTGCACTCTTGGTCTCTAGAGCACCGGCTCTGTAGTTGTGGTGCACAGGCTTATTTGCTGTGGAATCTTCCCAGACCAGGGATCGAACCCATGTCCCCTGGACTGGCAGGTGGATTCTTATCCACAGGGCCCCCAGGGAAGTCCATAATTATCATTACTAAATAAGACTAACTGCAAAATTTCACCAAGGACAAATAATGAATTCACCAGATGAAGCAGGAAACATACAATTCAACCTAGTCTCTGTCTGGTGATCTAAAAGTCTACAGAGAAGATGAAAATATGTGGAGGGAACAAAGGGAAAGGTTGATTTTAGGGAAGAAATTTCAAAAGCATTTGAAATTTTTGGTAAATTTCAAATGGTATTACTTCATCTGAATGTGATGGTGCTTAACTGAAATCCACACGACAAAGTTGGTTGGTTAAAAAGCACTCTTTTGTATAGAAACAGACTTAGGGAAGATATTCGAAAGGTTTCAGAAAATATACCTTTTTGCTAAGTCTGTGTCTCCTCACATATAAAAGACAGGAGTGTGGAAATAGAGGTAGTTTCCTTAAACTGTTTATAGAAATCAGATTCCACTGTGACGAGCACATCCTAACAACTATTTACTGAGCTGTCTTGGGGGAGGGCGGCGTTAAAGAAAGGGTGATGGACATGCGTGTCATCTTCATTGTGGTAATGGGTCTGACAGGTATTTGCATATGTTGAAACTCATCAAATTGTGAACTTGGAATATTTGCAGTTTATTTGATGTTAATTATACCTCAATAAAGCTATGAGGAAAAGTTTCCTAAACACTTGAGATGTAGTCTGTAGACAGCAGCATCATCCCAGAAAGCTTATGAGAAATGCAGACTCTTGGGCCTCCCTCCTAAGTCAGAAATCTGCAGATTCTCATACACGTTAAATTTGACCTCTTATAGTGAATGTCTAGAACTCATTTCCCACCATGAGTTGTTAATGGAAAATTATAGTCCCTACTCTGTTTTAGTCACTAAGAGCAACTCCCTCCTGGGCATTCTTTGATGGTTGCATTAAGAGGTTTACATGTTTGCTCTAGAGAATGAGCAGATTTTCAAGAATTTTCAATATGTTAAAGTCCAAACCAATTTTAAAAAGTCAATAATTACTAGTGTATCATATTTTACCTGTCCATCTTTCTAGGTGTGTTCTATAGGCTTTAATAGTTACAGTGCTTTGGAAAAAAATATTTTCTGATTACAAAAGAAATGCTTATTATAGTAAACTTGGGAAACAGAATCTGTAATTCTAGGAAGTAGCGTTATATTTAACATTATCACCCTCAAAAGTTACTGAATACTAAAGGTCGACTACAAAAAGGTAATGTATATATGACTTCTTGGAGGCAACGCCTTATATTCTAACATGTATATTTTTTAAATAATTAAAACTAAATCTAAAGATCCCAGCTAAGTGGAAAAACTCACTGGGCTTGGAATAGCAGAATTCATTCTGAGACATGGGTTTACCATAGATTAATGAAGCTTAAGCTTCAGGGCGCCTCACTTGCACGGGTCACTTCCAAAGCCCTTGGACAGACCCTGGCAATGTATTTACTAGGTCAAAAGTTTCTGTAAAAGTTTCTAAATTAAGATAGTTAAGACCATCATCACATTGTATTCAAACTTCCATCATTTCTCTTCTGCAGTAAATGGTGCAGGAATAGCTACTGGCTTTTTTGAGAACTGACTAAGGGAACAATGATTGACTTAGGGATACATTTCATTTGGGTTTAGAGGCATGCATTTATGGTTTGCAGTTATTTCCATCTACTGTTAAATTATTATTCACTGTGGGTGTAGGAATGGCTTTCTGGAATTCACCTACTGCCCATTATGCCAACTCAGCCAGCACCATGTCACAGAGGTACAGGGCTAGAGGCAGAAGAGTTCTGTGATGCCGGGCACAGGAAATACATGGGTGACAGAGGAGAAACAAGGTTTGAAAGAAAAGGAGAAACTAGCCCATTAAAAAATCCTTCCCACTCTCAAAAGTAAAAAACTCTTAAGTGGAGGGATCAATTTTCTCAATGCCTAACCTAAAATGAAGGTTCTCATTCATCAGGAATCTAAGTAATGTCATATATTCTACTGCAAGTGCGCTGTATTTTTGTTTTTGTGTGAATCATACAAAATGGAATATATTAGAATTCTTATATCTATGGAAAACAAACCTGCAGTTGTTTTACCAAAAGGTATGCGTGGGGAGTCCAGCTGCTCGGCACTCAAAAGCCAGTCAACAGGCCAGGATGGTAGAAAAGAAAGTTTGCTTTATTTCAGATGCTGGCGACTCGGGGGAGGGTGGCAGACATCTGTCCAAAGACCGACTCCCCCCGAAACAAGCAGGGGGTGAGAGCATTATAGACAGAGTGGGCGGGGGTGGGGGGGGGCTACATGCAGAAACAGCACAGTCATCTTCAAATTGGTCATCAGTGGTCTGACTAGCATCATCTTGGTTCTTTTAGGTACAGTTAATCTTCAGTTCTGGGGTGCACTTGTTCCCATTTCTTTGGGGATATTTCTTGGAATTGTGGCAGCTCAAGCCCTCGGTACAGTCTGGTCATCATGCAGTTAACTTCTCCTGATGTTTTAGTATCTATAAGACAGCTCACAGGATATGGCTCAGAATATTATCTATAGCCCTTGAGAAAGAACTAAAGGTCCTTAAGTGTGCTTGATGACCACATTATTATTATTTAGTCTCCTTATACTGTTTTCCTTTGTTTCAGCATTTCTCACTTCTCAGATTAAACTTATTCTTTGACTAAAGTTTTCCACAGAAAAAAGGCAGGCATATGGCCCTGCTCCACTGCAGTTGTACTATAGTAAGTCCGTATGTGAAGTCACATGTTTTATTCATCTTAAGGAGACCCTGTCTTAACATAGATAAATCTTGCCCTGAAGAGTACTAGAGATCCAAGAAAAACTAAGCAATAAATTGCCACTGAAACAGCCAAACAGTCCTGAAATATTATAGCTCATATATGAGAGACACTTCATACATGTTTTCCCAAATTTCACAATAATCCTAAAAAAGTAGTAAGTTGCGAATCTAAAATTTATAAACAATAATAAAAAACAAATTGTGATCACCATGTTAAAAAGACAATACTGATTTTTCTATTTTCTTTACAGAAAGCATTAAAAAATAACTGTCATAGTAAAGTGATCAAAAGTATACAAAAACAGTGGGAAAAATGATTGTAAACGGTGCCCCAAAAGTCTTCAGTTCAGTTCAGCTCAGTCGCTCAGTCGTGTTCAACTCTTTGCGACCCCATGAATCGCAGTAGGCCAGGCCTCCCTGTCCATCAGCAACTCCCGGAGTTTACTCAAACTCATGTCCATGGAGTAGGTGATGCCATTCAGCCATCTCATCCTCTCCTCCTGCCCCAATCCCTCCCAGCATCAGGGTCTTTTCCAATGAGTCAACTCTTCGCATGAGGTGGCCAAAGTATTGGAGTTTCAGCTTCAGCATCAGTCCTTCCAATGAACACCCAGGAAAGTCTAGAGACACAGATAAGTAAATATACGTAGTTGTCAAGAGCATTTTTAATCTTAAAAGAAAACTACGTTTCTGGATTTTTTGACACCCTGTAGAAGTGCGTCAGGCAGTTACTAAAAATTTTATGGTTTATCTGTGTGACGTTTGTGAGTTTTGCTAACCTTTCAAATGTCACTTGTGAATTCTTTCTCATTCTATATATTCACTTCCCTAACTCTCTGCTTCTAACTTTTTGCTTTTTAACTAAACAGGGACCCCACAAATTGTATGAGCTTCAGTTCCCGCAAAACCAGGATGTGCTCTACGCGTCTCAGAAACCTCGGGATTTCTCTGCAGCCTGTTTCTTGCTCAGAAAAAAAAAAAAGGCATTTGCTGGGCATCTCCTTAAGAGTTACCAACAGTTTCTCCAACCAAACCACACAACTCTACAAATGGGGAGGGTCTGACCCGAAGGGTAGGGCGCCCGCCAGGAGTCATCCTCTTCGCACAGACTGCACGCGGGTCCCATCCGACCCCGCCCCTGGCTGGACACCGCGAGCTGCGGCAAAGAACGGCAGGGCCGGGGCCTCTGGGCGTAGCACCAGCCCTTGGGAAGAACGAGGGCTGGAAGGGGACCGGGTGAGGCTCGGGGTGGGGCGTTCGAAGGCCGCCGGGATGGTGGGCGGGGCGGGTGGTGGAGGAGCGCAGCCCACCGACAACCCCCGGGTTGGGGGCGGGGCACCAGGCCGCAGCCCCTCTCCGGGAACTCTATCGCCTACTCAGCGGCGGAAGTTCCGGTGTTGGTGAGCGGAGGTCAGAGGTCAGCAGGAAGTCGATACGTGGCCGCCGCCTGTCCCCGCCGAGGAGGCGCAGCAGGCGGAGATGGCGGCGGTGCTAAACGCAGAGCGACTCGAGGTCTCCGTCGACGGCCTCACGCTAAGCCCGGACCCGGAGGAGCGACCCGGCGCTGAGGGCGCCCCGCTGCTGCCGCCGCCGCTGCCGCCGCCCTCGCCTCCAGGGTCCGGCAGGGGCCCGGGCGCCGCAGGGGAGCAGCCGGAGCCTGGGGAGGCGGTGGCTGGGGGCGCGGCGGAGGAGGCGCGGCGGCTGGAGCAGCGCTGGGGCTTCGGCCTGGAGGAGCTATACGGCCTGGCCCTGCGCTTCTTCAAAGGTGAGCTGGACAGGCCCCACCCCCGCCGCCTCTGCCGGGCCTTGGAGAGACTGGACCCGAGTAGCCCTGACCTACCCGTGCAGGACCCCGGCGACCGGAGCTGGGCTCTGTCCTTGGGGGTACTCGAAGTTTGTCACTATGCGCTTGGTCACTAGGTCACACCCCTAGGGGCCTGGAACCTTGGTTTAGCTTTCCGGGTCCTGTCTCCCGGAGGTTACCAGGCATCTTACCTGGATTTAGCTTCTCGGTTTTCCAGGATCCTGGATGGAAGAATGAGTTCTCTTTCCCAGAGGTTCCCTATCTGGGATTTTTTTTTTTTTAACCGTCGCGTTCTTTTTCTTGTTTCTTGTGTATTTGACACGTCAGAACCACCGATTTTTGCTCTTCTATAGTGGAAGAAATTTTTTTATGGGTTCCATTCTTACGCTTTCCATTCATTCTGGGGATCCATAAACTCGAATAGGGCTTAATCACCTGGCAGTATTCATGTGGCAGAGAGAAAGAAGTTAAGTGTTCAGCTAATCCCTTCTAGCTTGTCAAACTCTAAATTAGAGAAGGGATAGCTGCTGTGGTCTAGCGACTTCTAGATGGTTAAAATTTTTCCAGTGTCCAAGAGTGGATTCTCAGATTAAGGCCTAAAAGTAGCCTCTGTATTTCTCACCGAATTAATTGTAGTAAATCTTGTCTTAGAGCAAAATTGTGGTCTTGGATTTGTTTTTGTTTTTTGGGGGGGGGGGGTGGGGGGGTGGTTCACTTAGTGAAATGGTGAGTCACATGACCTTGTCATTGGGAAAGACTGATGAGCTATTTAGATCTCGTGGGGCAGACGAAAAGGGAGAAATTTCGGCAAATGAAACTTTAAAAGTGGTTGCTAGGTTCTATATACATTCCAGAACAGCATATTTATGACCTTTCCCCAGAGGGAGTACCTTTTGGAGTACATATTTTACTAGCTGAAGTTGAGTCGTTGGTGATACATTCAAAAGTTACCTGTTTTCTCTGAAAATAATTGGGCAAACTGATGATAGTCTTTCTTGTATAAATTTTACAGAAAATTTAGTCGTTCTCCATTCATTGCATTTAAAAAAATTTTTATTGGAGTAAAAAATGATTTTACAATGTTGTATTAGTTTGGCTGCACGGCAAAGTGAATCAGCTGTTCATGTGCATACATCCCCTGGTTTTGGGGTTTTCTTCCCCTTTAGGATTGAGTAGAGTTCTCTCTGCTCTACAGCAGGTCTCGTTGGTTATTTTATATACTGTAATGTGTATGTGTCAGTCCATTCTCCTAATTCATCCCACCCCCCAGCTCCCCTTCTGGTGTCTATACTCCTTTCTCTATTAAAAAGTTTACCCTTTAAATATTCATGGTCGTTGGGCCATGAGTTCAGCCCTCTGCTAGTTTGGGGAATTGGTAATGGCTACTGAGTTTTGAAACACTTGACCCTTAGATCACTGGCTTGAATTTAGAGTTTCCTGCGGTGAGGATATACTACCGCTTACATAAAAACCTGGTGGTTTCTGTAGAATTTATATAACTATATTTTACTCTAAATTTTTATTCTTGGTACTGATTTTTCCAGTGTACGATAAGATTAAAGTGTGTCTTAGCAGAACAATGTGTAAGAATAGAGAAGAATGAACTTCTAATCCTCACTTTTGCCATATGACAAAGAGAAATGGATAATTTTATCTTCTGAGTCTGTATTATTTAAAGGTAGTAGTAGTAACTTTTCTTCTTTGAAAAATTAAAACACTGTTAATGCGCAATAAATCTAGCATTGTTTGGGAGTCAAGAAGCTCTGGACTCTCTTCTTTTTTAAAGTCACTCAGTCACGTCAGACTCTTTGCGACCTCATGGACTATACAGTCCGTGGAATTCTTCAGGCCAGAATACTGGAGTGGGTAGCTTTTCCCTTCTCCAGAGGACTCTTTTTTTTTTTTTTTCTTAATAGCCTGCGTGATCCCAATTCCCCAACCACGGATTGAACCCAGACCATAGCAGTGAAAGTACTAAGTCCTAACCACTGGACCGCCAGGGAAATCCCTCTCAATTCTATTAACCTACTCCTAGCCAATTAATTTTTTTTCTTTCAGACTCAATTTGTTTATAGATAAAGATACATATGGCTGGATTAAATGAAATTTGACATCTCACATTTAGTGCTCTAAACCTCCCATTATTTTAACAGTTTGTCAAATGGAAAGACTCCTAGGGGAACCAGTAATTTAGGAACCTAGTTATAGTCACCTTAAAAGGAAGAAGCTACATTGATAGATACAGTTCAGGAAGTTTCAAAGTTAAGCTCTCAAAGTGGAATCCAGGTTCTTAAAAGAGAAAGGACAGTCTGGAGATTAAAGCTGCATTTTTGCATGGATCATTACATAGTTATCAGTGAAGAAGCTATTAGTATATGAGGTTCCTGATGTAGGTTGGGGGGAGGGAGGAAGGATCTAAAAGCAGTCAGAAGGGTTATGCAAAGTGGGGTGAGTCAAGTGTTGCTGCCTTTGAATTAATGTGTGAAAAACTCTTTTTTCTGCATAATACTTGACATTTTTATCAGTCTTGGGGCTTTAATAAATCACTCTTTTATGGTTTTGTATCTCACATGAATTAGAAATAACATTACAGTTTATCTTCTGCTGTGGAATAAATATGAATCTTGAAAGCATGGGTATCTTTTTCAATTGCAAATAACTTGGATTAAGAATCAGGAACCCTGTTTCTTATTCTGTCTCTATCACAGTGATCATAGGCCAGTGACTGAACCCATTGTGTCAACTTTCTATCCTCTTAGTTTTTGATGGTAAAAGTGAAATAATAGGTGAAAATATTTGCAAATGTAAGTTAGCATTTTATCACCTAAGCTGAGTTGTTGAATCCTTACTATGGATAAAGTTTTATCCATAATCTGTTCTATTTATCATTGTAAATGAACAGTATATTCCCTTTTGCTATTATGAAATTTATAGTCCAAGGAATTAAAGCCTCAGTGGCAACTGCAACACAGTGTGGAGGATCCAGAGGGCAGATGCCCTTCCAGGGAAGGGAAAGTTCTGTGTTTCTAAGAAATGGCAAGTAGGGATTAGGTAGTTTGATGGAGAGAACTGGGAAGCTAAATTGGTGTCATATCCATGTAAGAACTTGAATGGCATTGTAAATAGCCTGTTTGTCAGACCGTGAGGAACCATTGAAGGTTTTTAAAAGGAGGAGCAAAGTTGCCCTTCTCTAGTTTAGCAAGATTAAGCTGATTTTCTTCTCTCTTTGGGTTAAGGACTAAATCGGTTGCCTTTACTGAAGCCTTTATACTTCTTGGTTATAGTTAATCTGGGAAGTTGTGTTTTGGTTTTTAGAGTCCTTAGAAGTGAGGTTTTCCTTCTCTAATAACTTTATTACCTCACTCCATTAGCTGGTTAGTGGTTGCATTCATTTAAAATTCTAGACTAATAATTACCACCAGTTATTGAGCAGATGTTTGCTAAATATCAGGTACTATTTTGAGAGCTCTTACTATTGATGCTCAAATTGTACCATCTTTAGCAAGTGGTAGGTCTCTTCAGATTGGCTCCTAAATTCCTTTGACATGACTAGTAGTCTTCCATAGCTTCTTTGCTCTCTGGTGTAATGAAATAGTTCAGATTCATCGTATGCATTTCCTGCCTCCATTGGAATCAGCCATTTCTCCAAAGAGACTTGGTTCCTTTAGTGGAAAGTGGCATTTGAAGAACCGTAATCAGGATGTTAGCAGTGGGCACTCATTGCTACTAGATTGGTCATTATTTCAGTAGACAAATCTAGGGGGGTGTGTGTGTGGGTGGGGGTGTGTGGAGTGATAAGTTTTTGAGAGTATGATATGTAAAAGGAAGCTGTAGTCGAATTTGGAGGGAACTAAAGTTTTAGACTCAGCTTTTCTATGGAATTGTTAATGCATTTCCACTAACATTGCTATCTATTACATGGTGTTATATTGCTGATAACAGCGAAGCAATTATATGGACATACTGAATGGTTCCATTTTCTTTTGTCCTTAAACATATGCACTTGCAAGAATTTTATAAATGGCTCCATTAATGTTTTACTGTAAAGCTGTAATTCATTCTTCAGTGACACATATGATTAGTGTCTGCCTCCTGGACTTAAGTGGACTAGCCTCAGATAATTTCAGGTTTAATTGTTACTACTGAATATCTGTTAAATTTTGAGTATATTTTCCTCTTCTTTATTGTCTTTAGGTATAAGTGTATAGCATAGGAGGATATATAGACCTGAGACAAAGAAAGAAAATTTTACCACTGGGAATATAATGCCTTTTAAACATCTTCTTATTTGCTATTTCATATTAGATTTGAACTGAACTAAAATTTTCCTTTGAATATGGGGTATTCAAGGATATATATATATATATGTTTATACTTACGGATGTTTTATTGTGATTTTAATATTTACCTGAGGCCTCCCCTTTGTTTACTACCCTTGCAGAAAAGTATATGAATCATAAATGATGCCTGATGAATTTTTGCAAATGAGTACACTTTGGTAACCAACCCTCAGAAGGAGATAATGTTTACTTTTATCAGTTAGCTAAAATGAGAGTTTCTCTGCTTCAGTGTTTAGGAAGTTGAGCTCTGGAGTGAATACTGCCTGGGATTCAGTTCAGTTCAGTCGCTCAGTCGTGTCCGACTCTTTGCAACCCCATGAATCGCAGCACGCCAGGCCTCCCTGTCCATCACCAACTCGCGGAGTTTACTCAAACTCATGCCCATCGAGTCGGTGATGCCATCCAGCCATCTCATCCTCTGTTGCCTCCTTCTCCTCCTGCCTCCAATCCCTCCCAGCATCAGGGTCTTTTCCAGTGAGTCAACTCTTTGCATGAGGTGGCCAAAGTACTAGAGTTTCAGCTTCAGCATCAGTCCTTCCAATGAATACCCAGGACTGATCTCCTTTAGGATGGACTGGTTGGATCTCCTTGCAGTCCAAGGGACTCTCAAGAGTCTTCTCC